TTAGCATGGTAGCGTTAGCATGGTAGCGTTAGCATGGTAGCGTTAGCGTGCCGACGTGGGCACACCTCCCAGAAGAAGTGGGTGGATTGCCTGTGTCTCATTTGCATTTAAAGAGACAGGCACTCCAAAGCGAGCGCTCTGAACGGGGCTGTTTTGGGTTAGGGTTAGGGTTAGGGTTAGGGTTAGGCAGGGGGACTGAACTGCTATTGGGCTTCATCCTTATGCGATTTTGACCAAAGCTTGTCACAGACATTACATCAGGACACCAGGGAACTAGGTTAACTTGTTGAAATAGGGTATAATATGACTCCTTTAAATCTGTAAATATGTTTATCAGTTCAAACTTCTTTTTTCCTGAAACAAGTACAATGAAACAACTCTAATCTTTAAAGACAGGTTTAAAGAAAAAATACATTACAAAGGGAGTTAAAAGCAGCATATATAAAAATGGTAATGAGAGGGGCAAGAAAAGACGGAAATGTTTCCAAAATGCACCAAAAAAGTCTTTATAAGATTCTACAAATGGCAGTCGCATTAATCCAAAAATTGTACTGTTTCCCGTCTGATCTCCAAGCCCTCAGGCAGAACTGAATGTGAGATCTTCTCGGTAACTCGTGTGGAGGAGTGCTCTCGAGCTCCTCACGCTCGCTGTGCAGAGACGATTTCCATCCAAAGCGATTGACTCAACGCTGCCGAGCTCCTCCAGAACACAGCGTTTAAATAGAGGCTTTTTCCACACAGAACAGAGCGAGAGGAAACTCCTGCTGGCAACCAAAAGGCATGCTTTGTGTCAGCTTTTAACAGAGAAAAGGTTTGGGGAAAAAAAAAAAAAAAAACACTGCATTAGATTTTCACTTTTTTATAGATACAGGATTTTTTTGCACTTAGCTTTCACAGTCCACAGCTGCATCCAGAAATGGAGCTCAATACTGTGCTATGGATGGATGAAGGCCATATATCCGCTCTGCACTGGAACACAGACACTTTCTTTGGACACAAGTTCATTTTGGATGAAGAGAAAGACGCTGGACACGTTTTTCTGTTGTTAAAGGAGCCAGCTCTGTGAGCAGAAAATAAGAAAAAAACAGCCACACTGGTTCTGTATGACAAATGTCCATCAAAAGGATGGCTGCCACCTGTAGTAGTGCGTGATATTTAGTGAGGGAACCATTAATGCAGAGAGGAGTATTAGGGGTTTTGGAAAGACGTGCTTCTGTAAAGGTGATGCTCGTGGAAACGTATCACCTCCTGTCAGGACTTCCTTCTGCTCAGCCTCCATCTGCCCGGCTTCACAGACCCAGAGTTTGGATGCTTGACTGGTCTGTCTGCAGCACAGATGTGCCACCTAATGAAAATGTGTGGAGACAGCAAACCTGGAGTGGAGAGGGAACTCAAACGATGTACTTAGCAACAGTGGATATTGATTTCTCTGAAAACGGCACCAGTTAGTCGTTTCAGCTCCAAAAGGCTATAGTTTGATTTTTAAAAATGTTACTTTAACACAAGGGGAAGCAACTTTCCATCTTAGTTTACTACTAGTGTGTTACTTGCATTTCTTTCCAATTTTCTTTTTGTATGAAGGCCCAACAAAAACAAAAAAATAAATACATTTATATTACCTTGTAGGAAATGGGATTTGTAACCACAGAATGTGAAAAAAAATGTCCAAGTGTGTTATGCCTGAACAGCATAAGACAAAGTATTTTGAGGCTAGAGCTGTGTATAAAAGTCCTTGTTGTAGATAACTTTTGAATGTGTGAAAGGTGGAAAATCTGTGTTCATGTGTCTTTTGACAAGATCCTCCACTGAACTTTCTATTCAACAGGCAAAATAACCTCCGGATGTCACAGAAATCTCTTTCTGTGTCAGTCTGACACAGGATTGAACTGTGTCCCCGACATTTTCCTGAAAAATATGTTTTTCAGAAATGAAAGATGAAAGTATTTTCTGTCCAATTCTTAGAAACATCACTGTGAACAGAGTTCCTTTTCTACACATGCTTGGAAAAAAAATAATTCAGCACAGCATGACTTTAAGCTCTACATGATAAAAGTTTGACCATGTGTTCTGTATTATCAATTGTTATGCTCCATGACACATAACACAAAACCGTTCATATCCCCATGAAATTACTTGGTCTGTGCTTCTTACTTTTGCATAATTACATATATCTTATTATACAGACGCTGGGGGCAGCCCTCCACGGCTAAACTCCTGTCTGCTCTGATTGGTCAGCTTGTTTGTGCTGACCTGTCATTATCCACCTAATCTTTTTTTTTTTTTTTTTTTTATTTTTTTTTTTTTTTTTTTATTTCTTTTTTTTTTTTCTTATCCTTTTTTTTTTTTTTTTTTCATGATATGTTTCATTTTGACAAGTCATTTCATGGACTTAAAGCTCCTCTGTGCGGTTTTACGGACAATAACAATTTTCAATTGATAAAGATTAGTTTTTGGTCATGTCATAATTTAAGAACGCCCAAATGAGCAAATTAGTGATGTGGTTAGAGGTTTTCTTTGGGTCAACTTACCCTCACAGATCCAAATGTGAATGTGTTATCAATTGCATTTTGAATAGAGACGCTTTTGTTTATTTAATATGTGTTGGATTAGTTTTTATGGCCCGTGTCATTGTAGGATTTATTGTAGGAGATTAGTTTTCAATTAATATCCAGATATTAGTTGACCAAATGTATGATGTAATTGGACGTTTCAAAAGCAGTTATATTAGTTTTAGCCTCGTTACGTATAAAGAATATGAACATTTTTCTATTTTTTCGTGTGAAAGTATTTTACAGTGGCACAAATTAGAATAATAGGAGTACTCATGCAATGCCAGGATGGAGCCAGAATATTTGTGTGTGTGTGTGTGTGTGTGTGTGTGTAAATGATCTACGCCCCTCATTTTTCAAAGAAACGAGCCTGTGACAAGATAGCCCCAAGTTTTTGATGAGGATGCGTGCCGGACCTCACTCTCAGACCGAATGACCGTACACTTATCAAATAAAGATGTTAAAGAGGGAGCGCTTCTGTTCCATTTGCCTCTATCACAGAGACGCTGTATTTGTGGGAATAAGCTGAAACATTTGTGAAGGCATCAACCGTCATGGACTGCTGCAGATCCATAACCAGCATGCTGGCAGCCCATTATGTAAAGACAGAACTAGCATTTACCATGTTCAGTTCAAATAATGGTGTATATCTTCAGTTAGGATGCAACTCCACACATTTATATTCATGCATCTTGATGTCAGCACTTACAAATCTTTGGTTATGAAGCCACTTATGTGTTTTTTTGGCCTCTATGTTAAAAGTAAATTAATGTATATTAGTTTGTTGTTGTGTCAACTGTGTTTAACCCCACCATTCCCTTTTACAATCAAACAAAAGTGTTGTAATTGATCCTTTCATGAGTAAATCATTTATTTATCAGTAACAAAGTCAACAGAGGAAAAAAGTCTGTATTGTTTTTCCAATAACTCATGCAGGGATTTTAATTTGTTTAGAGCTGATGATAAAGAAAAAACATTTAATTCCTTTACATTTTAATTTCCCCCTCCACAGTTTTGAGACTTAAATATATTTTTGATGTCACTGTTGAGGTTTGATTCTTGTATTTTTAGAAATATGACTAAATTGAGAGTTGGAAAGCGCTGTGAGACAACTGTTGTTGTGATGTGGCGCTATATAAATAAAATTGAAATTGAATTGAATTGAAGTTCTTTTCTGATCTCTCCTGTTGGTCAGTGCTCAGAAGTGTGTGGGGGAGGTGAGCAGCAGCGGATCGTCGCCTGTCCAGAGGAGGACCGCTGCGATAAGGACCTGCAGCCCGCCAACATCCAGCCCTGCAACAGCCAGCCCTGCGCCCAGTGGCTAACTGGATCCTGGGGACAGGTACTCTGCCCCATAACGAGCCATGCTTTATTCTATATCCTTACCACTTTACCACAGAAATGCCTTTCACTGAGTTGATCTTGATGTGATTTTACCAAAGGTGTGACATGATCTCAGTTATGATATCATGATGAGGTTTAATTTGTATTCAGAATGACAATCTATCTGTCTGTTTTAAAACCAGTGGCCCTGCATAAACATTCAAGTTTTTTAAGTTAACATGATCCATTTGAAGAATAAGCACAGAGAAAGAAAAGTTTTGATCAAAAGTTTTACTGAATCTTAATGTGATTCGGTGCACTCTGCATGGACCAAAGTTAAAAGTAATCCACATGTACAGATGCACATGTTTTTATTCCTAATATCTATAAATAATGGACGACATTGTTGTGATCTATATTGTTGAAGTTTTGGTAATAATAGTGTTCCTATCAACGATCCATAGAAAATCATTGGATGGTATTCATTCTATATGAAAAAACATTTAACAAGAAATGTTAAAAATGTGAAAATATCAGATATTCTTAATTTTAAACACACCAAACCTTAGTACCAGTATATTGGGTGGGTAGTGCTGCTGGTTGTAGGTGAACTACTGAGAGCAATTTGAGCCCAAAGTACAAAAAAAGAATAATATGTGGCTAAAAAAACCTTTTTGTGAATAATAATTAAAGCAGAATTTCAACAAGTAGCACACATGAAACAGCTTTATCAGTTTTATCGGTTTTTTATTTAATATTTTGAGCACATTCAATGTTTATTCTTACATGTTGGAAATCCACTCCAAATTGCCCGTAGGAGTGAGTGTGAGTGTGAGTGTGTGTGGTTGTTGGTCCTTGTGTGTCTCTGTGTCCCCGTGATGGACTGGGGACCGTCCAGGGTGACCCCGCCTCTCCCCATTGGCTACTGGGATAGACTCCAGTCCCCCCAGACCCCATTAGGGAATAAGCCATTCAGAAAATGGATGGGTGGATGGATTATTGGAAATTAATTTAATTAATCAACATTATAATTGAATATTTCTTATATTTTGTTTTATATTTTTCGCGCGAAAAAACTATATTTATTCCATTTTAATTCTGTTATTGCTCCCAATAATAAAGAGCAAGCTATCGTGAAATAAGAGAGTGATATGATGCCCGTGTCGTCAATTCTTATGTTTACAAGGAGCGATATTTTCTCATTCTCACTTCCAAATAACAGTATTTATCCACTGCAGCTTTATCTGGGGGACACAAAGGTGGTTTTGTTAATAAAGGGGAAGGTAAACCCTGAAATGACATTTACTTTTCTCATCCAGGTATAGCTTTTCTGGTTATTAAGGCCGTTGGAGTAAGCCTGCCATCAATCTCAGCCACATTACCGACTAAAACCAGAGAAGGTTCACATAAGCTGCTGCTGTTATGAGAAGAAACGCGGAGAAACAACACTGGTCAGTTTTGACTATTTAAAGCAACTGAAAAAGAAAAAACATGAACCAATCCCTCTGTGCAGTGCTCAGCTTCCTGCGGCGGCGGAGTGAAGTATCGACTCATCAAATGTGTGGACACAAAGAGTGAGACGCCCCAAGAAGTGGACCCCACTCAGTGTGACCACGAACCGCAGCCGGACGAGACTCAGAAGTGTGACCTGCAGGAGTGTGGGGGTGGGCCCTCTGGTGAGTAGGTCGGGATGGAAACAAAACTTTGGTCTTTCTTTTTTCCTGTTGCTTTGACTCTCTTAAAAACTCCTCGCTCTAAATTCGCCATTTTTAGGATGGAGAGATAAGCCCTGTTTATGTTACTACCACAGTGGACATGACTCTCTTCCTCATTCTATGAATGCACGTCTATGAATATGTTAATAACTCTATATACTTATTTGAAGTCTCCTCTAACTTTTATAAACTTCTCCCTGCAGTCATTTTATGAAGGACAAACAGCAATGAAATAAGGATCGGAGCTTTTCGGTCCCATACTCTAGTAAAGTCTGCTAACATAAGTGGCCTAATGGTGCTCTGTCCACTTCAATGGACAGAGCACTTCAACATCAGGGGAGACTCAGTTGTAAGTCAGTCCCAGGAAGGGACAGCCTGCGTTTTCTTTGGTGAAAGTCTCCTGTCGTGGATCCCGAGAGGCTGTGTGCAATCCATATCATCTGTATACAGGAACTGAATATGAGAGTGGGCCAAATAAACATAGCAACCAGTCCTCTTAGTCCCCAGAGTGTCTTCCAGATAAATGTTTTTTATTGTGTCAGAGTTTAACGAAAAAAATATTTATTTCTCACAATTATGAGGGGGTGGAGGGTTAGGGTTAGGACATAGTTTGTCTTCCAATTTCGTACAGGCATTAACGTTTCGTTTCCACCTCAGAAAGCTGCTAGTCACATGACCTAATCAAAATGGCCGACATGGATGTGGGAGGAGCTGGATATCCAGCCGAGGCTCCTACAGGCCAGAGGCCGGTCCCCTGCTTTGCTTTGCTGAAGTTTTCACATGGAGCTCTGACAAATGAAACTGAATCATGTAGAAAAACCCATGACTCTCGGTTGAGTGTTTGCTGCTCGTATCGTTCTGTTTTTAGTGTATCAATCATTTTATGGGGACTGTTCATCCACGGTTGAGCAGCAAAGGGACAGTGGAGTCAGGGTGGATTCTGGAAATTGGCTCTTCTGCCTCGTTGAAATCGCCTGTTTATGCTCACAGTGTTATAACCACTCTTCGGTCTTTGTGATGGGACTCTGTGATGTCTCCAAATAACCAAATCCATGTTTTAGTGACGCATACATGCCTCCAGAATCTGATCTCATGCTGTCATTAACTGGACAAGCCCCGTTTGCCATTTAAGGAGCCTGTTCCTGTGTTTTTCCCACACACGATTTCACTTTGTTGTAGCCTCTCCTGTAACTTGTTTGAACGTTACCCAAATAATTGATTCAGGGTTGGTGCTCTACTGAGAGCGCGCGGGCTTTCTGATCTCACCTTTTGAAGGCCGAGGGTGTAGTGCTCTGCACATTTAAAGCTGCACATCAGCCGGGATTCGCTCTGCAGAGTTTTGCCTCAGTATACGGCATCAGGATTATCTTCAATTCAAGCTGTAGTCATAAATCAGAATCAGAAATACTTTAATAATCCCAAAGTGGAAATAATTTTTGTGACTAACTCCAGAAATACAACAGCATATACATACATACATGTCTATACATATATACATATATGTATACACAATTCCACACAATATATAAATAAATAAATACATAAGTAACTATATATAGGTCTAAAATAAGTGATAATAATAATGACAATAATTTAGTTAGATTTTACAGAGATGGGGTGTCTGAAAATAACTAATTGCTACTACTATACATGAAGTTTATATTAACTATAACATAGAGCATTATGTCATTGTTTGTTCTTTATTTTTTTGTTGAATCCATTTAGTTTAAGACCTGCTAAGGGGCCAGTTATTGTTCTAATGTAAAAAAAAAAGTGAAAACTACAATTAAGTAAAAACAGGTGTTTCTTTTTGAGGAAAGAGAATGGAAAAGTGATTTGCACGCCTTTTTTTTCAGCCAAATGAAAGGCAACAACTTAAAGAAGCCGCCCGTTTCCTTTCTTTCAGAGAATTTCATTTCAGCTTATGTCGCTACTTCAAAAGGTAAATGGAAATAAATAGAGGCTACATGGACATTTGCGCCCCGTGCTTGTCTTCAAAGAGATAGTAGCATAGGTGGAAATGTTATTTCAACAGAAAGCAGGACGAGTAGTTCATGGTGTAAGAAATTAAATTAGTCTCAAGGCAAAGTCATGTGTTTTTTTTTTTGTTGTTTTGTTTTTATATCTAACCTTTAAAATCCCTGCTGTGGGAGTTCTCCGTCCTAATGGGAAAAGCTGTGTCTCAGCTGGGCTTCACGGGTCGTTGGTTTAATGCGCCACTTTAAGCACAAACCTCAATTCACCTCTAAATAAATCTCGCAGAGAGTATATGAGGAGACTCCTTCCTGAGCCCATTGTTTTTTTGAAAAATGTAACTATTGTCTTTGCTTCGTACATCAATAGAAACTGAAAAGCACCCGGTTTTGACATCAACTTGAGGCTTTCATATGAAGATTAAAAGAGGTGGATCACAGCATCATAAAAAATGAATAAATCTAGCACCCTAACGTACTTATTTAAGTCACTATTCTGAGCTTAGTAAGAATGATTTTGCCCCTGCTTCCAATTTTCTCTGTGGCAGGTCACCGCACATCTAAGTCTACAGTTCCCTGAATGATGATTCTCTGCTCTGTTGACGCTATAAATTCAGGGTTTTTTACTGGAGTGAATCAGAAGTGCTCTTTGAAAACCTGGGTATTCAAACAGACGTAATAGGCGGCTTTTCATCAACGATTTCCACCACGTTCTCCTCGCTGACCAAAGAAACGGACTGAATGAGAGCGGCTCTATAGGGACCACAGCTGCATTTGAAAAACACTTACACTCCGCCGTATTTACAAAGAGACGCAGCGTTCGCTGAACATCTTGGCCTTCGTGGGTCTAATAAAGCATGTAAAAGCAGAGATGCTAAAACTCAGCTGCAATTTCAGGGTGTTTCATCCTTTTATGAGGAAAATGGGTTTCAAACATCTTCAAACTGTAAAAATTCCTTTTTTTCTGGCATATTTCATTGCTTTTATATACAGTGATGCCTCTTTAACTAAATGAACAAATGTTTAAATATACTTCTTACTCAGCTGCCTCGCTGGAGCCACATTTAACAATACATCTGCATAATACAGTGGGGGAAATAAGTATTTGACCCCTTTGCTGATTTTGCAGGTTTGCCAACTTACAAAGAATGCTTATTTTTCCTCATCAGATGGTTATCATTTTTTATAAATTCATATGATGTGATTTTCTGGAATTTTCTTTGGGATTCTGTCTTTCACTGTTAGAATGTACATATGATTAAAGTTATAGATCGTTGCATTCTTTGTAAGTGGGCAAACCTGCAAAATCAGCAAGGGGTCAAATACTTATTTCCCCCACTGTATATTATTCTGATATAAACTAATGATTCATTGCAGCTAGAAATGGATTCATACCTGAACTATAGGATACAGCTTTCCAACGCACCTATATCCTCCTGAGACCCAAAGAAAAAAAGTGTCTTCGAATTTATTTTTTGTTGTGATTTTCCATGTATTTGGACCTAAAAAAGAACATTACAATTTCAATTAAAAAAAAAAAAAATTAATTTTAATTTCATAGCATGCCCACTGTGGAGGACAACAGGACGATTTGCATGGGAAAATAGAACAGGCTTTAGATAATTAAATATATTTACCTAAGAACTCTTAGGAAAAGGTAAAGTTCCCAGCATGCAAACCTATCACATGGCACATCACTGGAAAGCCCAGGATGCCCTCTACAGAACACTATAGGGCTTGATAGGGTAACTCCAGATACTTAGGGGGGGTACAGGTGGACAAAATGTCCACTATAATGGACATAAATGAATGGGCCGGGTCTCAGGAGGATATACAGTGGGGGAAATAAGTATTTGAACCCTTGCTGATTTTGCAGGTTTGCCCACTTAGAAAGAATGCAACGATCTATAACTTTAATCATATGTACATTCTAACAGTGAGAGACAGAATCCCAAAGAAAATTCCAGAAAATCACATCATATGAATTTATAAAAATTGATAACCATCTGATGAGGAAAAATAAGTATTTGACCCCCTGGACAAACAGCATGTTAATATTTTATAGAAAAGCCATTATTGGCCAGCATAGATGTCAAACGGTTTCTATAGTTGGTGACAAGGTTTGTGCACATTTCGGCAGGGATGTTGCCCCACTCCTCCCTGCAGATAGCCTCAAAATCCTTCAGGTTCCGAGGTTGTCGCCTGGCAACTCGAATTTTAAGCTCCCTCCAAAGATTTTCAATTGGATTCAGGTCTGGAGACTGGCTAGGCCACTCCAGAACCTTGATGTGCTTCTTCTCCAGCCACTCTTTTGTTGCTTTGGCGGTGTGCTTAGGGTCGTTGTCGTTCTGAAACACCCATCCTCGACCCATCTTCAGCTCTCTCACTGAAGGAAGGAGATGTTGGTCCAGAATTCCACGATACATAGCCCCGTCCATCCTCCCCTCAATACGATGGAGTTGTCCCGTCCCCTTGGCTGAAAAGTACCCCCAAAGCATGATGTTGCCACCACCATGCTTGAAGGTGGGGATGGTTATCTTTGGGTTGTACTCGGTGTTCTTTGCCCTCCAAACACAACGAGTTGAGTTGAGGCCAAAAAGTTCTATTTTGGTCTCATCTGACCACATTACCTTCTTCCAGGCCTCTTCTAAGTCGTCCAGGTGGTGAATGGCGAACTTCATGCGGGCCTGTACATGTTTCTTCTTGAGCAGGGGGACCTTGCGTGCACAGCAGGATTTCATTCCATGACGGCGTAGTGTGTTACCAACCGTTTCTTTTGTAATTGTGGTCCCAGCTGCCTTCAGTTGATTCAACAGTTCCCCCCTTGTGGTTTTGGGATGATTCCTCACCGTTCACATGATCAGGGACACCCCACGAGGCGAGATCTTGTGTGGAGGCCCAGACCGAGGGATGTTGGCGGTGGTGTGGTGCTTCTTCCATTTCCTGATAACTGCACCGACAGTTGATCTTTTCTCTCCAAGTTGCTTTCCGATTCT